CGAGGTCGGCACCGGCACGACAGTTGGGACAAATGAAGATGGGGTACTGTGGAGAAGTGAGAAGCGACCGGACGCATTTAAAGTGCCAGGTATGGGAGCAGGGTGCCACAAATAGTGACTGGCAGGGCTATTGAAGGAATAAGTAATGGGATCCAAGTAGAAATGTTTGCCAAATACGAACCGCAATGGAATTTAGGCAAATCGAGCAGTCGGAAGAGCCAGAGGCATTGCTTCCCTGAGAACCCGTTCCCATCGTCCTCAATCTCTTGTGGGCGGCCATACTGTAAATTGCGTTAATACGAAACTTTTGGTTCCAGACATGGGGTTTCCATGTGAAATCGGAAGACACTTACTTGAATGTGTTGAGCTTGTTCTGCCAGCCACGGTTCAGCTCCAGCCTCATCTTGACACAGCGGAAGATCATCTCCTCTCCGCCCTTGAAATCAATTCCGAGTTGCACAATGTCTCCATCGTTGACGGGGAAGGCCTTGCTCTCCTGGGACGGCGGGCTCAGACGAATGTGGTTCAGAAACGTTCCGGACGAACTCTTGACATCCTTGATATACCACTTGCCGTTCTCGTGCCAGAACTCGCAGTGACGGCGACTAACCACCTTGCTCTTGAATCCAACTGCGGCGGCCGAAGGCTGGTTACCGGGCATGTTGGCCATGGATTGGCTGTCGCGCTCCGAGTATCGCCCAACACGAATGACTTCCTTGCCGGTAGGCAGTGTTCTGGTGATCGGAGGGAATGTCAGAGAGGGACGAGTGGACCGTGGGTCGTAGTACGCCGAGAAGCGGATTGAGGGTAGCAGATCGGGACCTGTGGTGCTGGAGTTTGTTGTGGCAGCGGCGGCGTTGTCAGCAGTCGGTGTCGCGGCCGTGGTGGGCTGTCCCTCGCTCGCAGCTCCAGGAGTCGGAGTCGAGGGGGCACTGGCCCCGTTGGTCCTGCCGAAGGTTGGTGTTGTGAGAGCCATGGGGTTCGATCTGGGAATTGCAGAAGGTGAAGTTTCAGCAGATGCGGCCACGAGCGGATTGGTGAGGTCGATGGAGAGGCCCTGCGATGAGGAGGAGCCTGCCGGGGCAGAGTTGACTAGTGATAGATCGTTGGAGTGGCCGGGTAGAGGTGCAGATCGAAGAGCTACAAAATGACCTTCAGGGTCACTTGGTGAGCCCGCAAGGTTGTCAGTGCTGCCTGTGGTGCTCGTGCCGTTGGCCCCATAGCCTCCTTTCCCACCCCCACTGGAAGTAATGCCACCGAGCAGGTGACCGTGAGTAATGTTTCGCAAATTTGAGAATCGGCGCAGGCGGCTTGATCGAGGAGGCGGGCTGCTCATCATAGGTTGTGGTGAAGGAGACAACATTGGGTGGAATATGAAGCTGCAGAAAGCAGCGGGTGGATAGGCTAGGGGAGGGGATTCGGAGTCGAGGGAGGCAGAGCCAGTCTCAGCGCCTGGACGGGGCTTACCTCCTGTGCGCAGGTGGACTAACGGCTGGGCTGGGGGTGGGTTAGGTGGTAGGTCTAGGCAGGTAGGTGCTGCACTGGATTTGTCACCTGAGAACTGAGAAGCGAGCTGAGCGGACAGGGCGCAGGAAAAAAGAAATATTAACAAAGCACAGATGGTGTAACTCCAGTCAATACTAGCAGGGCTCCGTTTCTAATTTCAAAATACAGGCAGGAGGCCGGCCTAAGTATTTGACCTGAAGGCTCAGGGTCAGTGAGGGAGTCCACCGTCCACGGCGTAGCCGACCCCCGTAAACTCAGCGTCGGGCCCAGGCACAAACAGGGCTGTGCTGATCCCTGCCAGGTTCCATCTGGCAAGGAGCCTAACTTCTAAGAGGAGGGGGGCCGCTACAGCGCTGCGATTGTCATAGTGCGACAACCTCCACTGAGATGCGGTGTGCGTCCTGAGTGGTGGCTTCAGCCCACTAGAGACAGGCTCCCAGAGGGTAAGACACAATGTATCGCACCACTGGCGTGCGGACGGAGGCCAAGCGATGCAATCAGCTGGGCCGAAACATTGCGGTACGGAGACAGCTTCTGAGACCTGGCTGGTATCTGTCGGGTCCGCCCCGAATTTCCAATGACGGAGAGACGAGGGGAGAGGGGAGGAGAACGGAAAATGGAGCAGAAAACAGATCATGTGTGAGGTGACCGTTGGATCTGTGTGTAACAGGCGCCTGTCCACACATGCACGCACGAGCGATTTGTCCTACACGGCGGGCTCCCTACCATGCATGGAAAATAAGAACATGAATCACTGTGTTTACTTTAAAATCCCGTAGGAAATTTACCGACACCAGCCAGTTCGATGTGCGGTGGTTGGAGTCCAGTCGACCCGTCCCGTATAGGTGTGCAACAATGCTCTGAGCACTTATACGCCGTAATGCACACAGCTGAGCGATTGAGGCGGGAGGACGTCAGCTCCTCGAACTAGGGTGGCCCAAGCAAAAGCTTCTCGTCTCAATACGTACCTACTATGGAGTCCCTAGGGCGGCATGGAAGAGATCGACACCATCTCTAACTTGAGACGATACAAGATCTCAAGGCAGGCCGGGACGTTCGCTACGCTACGCTAGCACAAGCGCATCAACTGATGCTTGGCCATGTGCCGTCCAAACTCTCTGCTCGCGTAGGAGACAATCCCACCGTGCAGGAAACACCAGCTGCGACGCTGTGTTCTGGAACCCGGGTGGGCAATATGCACAGGGCAGCCAGACCTGCTGATGGATGCATGTCACACGACTGGTCGCCGCTGGCTTGGTCCCCTGTGTCTTGGATAGGGCATCACACACTGCGTGCAGTCTTGACGCATCTGGAACCTACCCCAATCTATGCTCGACTATCGGGTTCGTTCCTTGGCCAGAAATGGAGTCATTTTCTGCTTGCACCATCCATCCCATTGTCTTAGTTCGTCGCTGGCCCGCCATTCAGCACCCAGCCCCAGTTCAGTATGTGGATTTGGGTGTGTTTGAGCGCATGGGGCGATCAAGCCACATCCTTGTCCGTGAACCGTTTGCTTTTTGGTGGTCTCATTGCTGCTTTAGTTCTTGTCACGGTTGGCCCTCGCGACCGAGCTTGGCGATGCTACTTTCGCGAGGGTAGTCAGAAATATTAATATCAATAGGAGGAATATGACCAAATCCATCCGATTAGATCCAGGCACAACAATGCAATGTCACCTGGGTGAGCGATCTGGTAAGCTTACCACGCACGTCGGGTACATGCAGAGCATTAGTGACCGTCGCTATTATTATAGCGCTGGAAATCCCTTCGCCTATTTATCCATTGTTAATAATGCAACGCGCGGCCCACCAGAGAAGTAACTTGAAGGAGCCGAGTACAGCTACTATCCGTCTGTATGGTTGTTTGTTTATGTTTCCTGGATATTGTTTTACCCAGATCCGAAACCAGAAGGCTTACACCCCAGATCGATCCCGAAGGATATTATTAATAGGCAGATTGAGGCTGGGCGCTTTCTGGGGAACGCTAGCAGGGACATTACACACAAAAATATCACAGACATGTCAGGCAATTTAATGCTCCTGGAAAGATAGACCGGGACCGAAGAGTGCTGAATTGATCGCAGCATTCTCGGGATGTGGGATTACTCGACCCGTTTGCAGCACCCGCCCGTCCTGGCGAGGAAGGGAAAACAATTTGTCACTGGAGCATCCACTAAGGAGAATCGCCGTTTGAGGAAAGTCTGTGGAATAATGAGACACCGCGACTCTACTAATAACTAACACATACTAGGTACGAGACAATGGACGGCATCAGCAGAAGGGGAGGGGGCAGAGCCGTGGCAGGACCAAGACAAAAACCCGCCAGCGTCGGGTCCCAGCTCGAAACATACTGCGCAGTGAATACCTATGATATGGTCTTGGGCCCATTCAGCTCTGCCCAGGCTGGCGGGAGAGACAGAAAACGGAACTCCCGCACCCGCTGGAATGCTGCTGGACCCTGGTTTGCGAAAGACTGCGGTCGGTAGCGAGGCACCTCATTCCACGCCCGCCAGGCCCAGGGCAGATTTGGCGAAGCTCTGGAATGGTCATCCCAATTGACTGCGACATGTTGGGGTCACTGTTCCTGTTTATCAATCATCGCCCCTTCTCAGCGCAAACGGGCAGTGCTCAGAAGGAGGATTCAGCCCTAGGCATACCAAACACCATCCACGTCTTGACTGAGACGAATGCATGACCAAGGCGAGCAATTCGAGAACGTAGGTGGCTGCATGTAGTACAACTTACCGTATGCCGGCATCTACGCATGTCATCGCTCCGAGATGACGCACACTTACTGATTACACGACCTTGGTATTGCACGCACACATGTTCGTGCAACAACCCCCCGCCAAATCCCGCCGGCTTGCGTTTATCTCGCTGCCGTTGGCTGCCCGTTGGCCATCGTGTGTGTGTGGCAGCGGGAACTCTCGCCTCGTCTCCGGGTCCAGATGGGCTGCCCGAGCAAGGTCGAGGCTTGCCTCCCGCATTCCTTCCGCTCGTCATGGACTCGTTCCGACTTGGCGTCTCGTGGCGGTTCCCAGGTTTTAGCACGCCGTGTTTCAACGTCGAGACCAACCTAGGCGACTGAGCTAGTTGCTAGTCGACCCGTTTTCTTGATAGACCGCTGCGCCGCTAGAATCCTGCCTAGAGTCTTTCACATGTGCTGTCGTCACCTGAGAATACAGTTACGTGGGCTGGTCACTTGGTAGATTATACACGTTATGGCACGCTATCTCGTAGCCGGCATCAGCTGGGATGGTCGTAGATATAGATGTGCTTTTGCCTTCCAGACCGAGAGTCCCGAGGGTGGCAAGTGTGTGACAAGAAGAACTGGGGCCCCTAAACACTCTCTCAGGCCACACTTATTGATCGTCCATTCTTAGCGAAGCTTGTCAAGCTTGTAAAACGTGATATATTAATTAAAGGAAAAAGTCGAATACCTCTGGCTAATTCTATGCATAAAATGGTTCGCTGCTTGGGGGTCGTCTGATGGACCTATCTCTTGAATACTGTGGCTCCTAGCCGCTCAATCTCTCTCCCCTCAGAAGTGGTCTTCCCAGCAGCTTCCAAGAGCTTCTGCCAAGCTTGTGCATTCTTAGTCTTGACCGCTTCTTCAGCTGCCTTGAGCCGCATGCCGCACTTCTCATACATGGTTATCGCCTCTCCTGCTTCAAGATTTGTGCATTTTGGTATAAATATGGCTGCGAGTCTGGGGTTGCCGGCTTGTAAGATGAGATTATAGAAAGGCTAGAGAGAAAAACCAGGTGTCAGAAAAAACTCCTTAGATAGACAGAAGTGACGCTGAGGACATGTGGAACTTACCTCCCAGCCAATCGGACTCTTCTTTGCCCTGGCAATTTCCTCAATTTCATTCCATTCACGCTTGGCCACAAGCGCTCGAAGTCTGGTGAACAAGTTAGCAAGTGCCCCGTTTTGATCATGAGATGTATCCGGTTTGTAGATTTCTGGCGTACCTGATCCACCAAGCCACCTTTTCGGGCACTTTGAATTCGCTCTGAATCTTCTTCGCTCGGCCGTGATAACCCAAACGAATGAGTTTGAACATGGTCTCATTGACACTCAGCCCTGTAAAGGTGTCTGTCAAGTCCCGGTCCAAAGTTTCCTGTATTCGAAGCAATGCTGACGCCTCTTTGAGGACTATCAGGTCAAACGCAGAATCCTTGGAGTCAGACAATTGTTTCGCTGCCAATGCCAGCTTATCAGACGCCGTGCGTGCGCTAGGTTGCTTCAGTGACTCGCGGATAAATACATTAGCACTATCGACCCTTCGGTCATCCTGGTAGTATAGATCTTTGAGGAGAGCATGGTCGCCTTGAAGGCTGGCCGAGGATTCCACAAGTGCCGCAGCTGTTGGGCGTGCGCTGATGACGTCAAAGAATCCAGCGAGCGGGAGCTTCTTCTTGAGCTGGACAACCACCGAGAGGATTAAATCTGTATCACCACTCTCGATGGCCTTGTCCAAGGCCAACTCGTCCTCTTCCATGTCTAGGAGTAGAGGCACCTGTCGGCCTCCTCGAGGCTCGTGGTTCAACAATTCTGTGGCGAGCCGCCCACGGCCTTCATGGTAAGCGGCTCGAGCGATCTCCTCAAAAGAAACGCCTGGCTTCCCGTTGAGTCGGTCAACGATGAGTCGACAAATAGTCTCGTCGTCCTCGGCACCAATCCGCACCTTACTGGATGCCCAGTGCACATAGATGTTGTTAGTGGGTAGCTTGAGATAACCTGCTACTTTCAATGCCAGAAGGTATTCATGCCGATTCAGCAGCCTCCGGACCAGCCTCTCAGGCGTTAAACGGTGGAACTGCTCAAACGACAGCGGTAGACCGACTTCAAAAAATCGGACAGCATTGAGGACTCGCAGAGTTTCGCACATGTCAACAAAGTCGTCACTGTTGTAGATATCGAGCACTGATTTTCCGAACGAGGCTGCCTTGAGAAGACGTTTTTGCCAGTAAACTTCGAATTCGCGCCCTGCAGCGTTGACACAGGTGTCGACAGCCTCGGTCAGATTTGGTCGGATCAGCTGGATGTAGTCGTCAGCCTTGGGAGACTCCATCTCCAGCTGACCAACAGCATCTAGCAAGATAGAGGCCGGAGACGAATCGGAGGCATTTCCAAAGACCTCCTGGGTTTCCTTGGCAACTCTCTCCAAGAACTCACAGAAATCATTTGTAACAAGACGCGCACCATCATATTCTACCCCATGATTAGAAGGTGCCTTCGTAGTGTTCAATCGCTAACATGGGCTTACCTGATACAATGTGAACGCGCGTGCTGTCATAGATGTAGGATATGCTGGCCTCTCCAGATCCAATCACATGAACCTCATCTTCCCATGCAATAATGGCATCGCTGCCACACCACTCGACATACTTGGGAGGGGTTTGCGAGTCGGAGTCATGTTCAAAGATCCGTTCTTGGAAGTCGCTAGAGATAATATGCGCCTTTCCGTTCTCTCCATATAAGTTCACAAATCTCCCATCAGGAGACACGCTGATATGAGAGAATGGACCTATGTCAAGGAACCTGTCATCGCACTCTGTAGCATCAACAACGTACACTGTCTTCTCGATGCTCAAAAGAACCTCGACGGATCGTGACAAAGTGTGATCTGGGGATATGATAGCCCAAGAATGGATTTCGCCCTCTGGAGGTGTCGCGAGAAGCTTGGGTCGCGGCTCTTTGTATGTCGAGACTGCGACCAATGTGTTGTTCCCAAGAAGGGCAACCATTCCATCAGGATAGAAGCTAATATTCCCTCGAGTTAGCTGGGATGTAGATATCAGTTTGCAGCAAGCTTCACCTACCGGCATGACTTCACTCCATGATTCTCCACCCCATGACCAAGGGAGAAGTGGCTGAAATCTCCCTGGATGTCATAGCAACGAACGCTGCCATCCTCAGTGACAACGAGCAAAGACTCATCCTCGGACCATCCTAAGCTCTTGATCGAACCCTTGTCCCAGGGGATAGAACGCAGTTTCCTTCCCGCAAGACTGTATAATTCAATTGCAGGCTTGGACGACTTCCCTGGCTGGTAGGCCTGGAGCTTGGTATCGTCGCGCCATAGTGCTAAGAGCTATTAGAACATAATTCACGAGCTTCTATCAAACCGGGCCCAGCGACAGACACGCATCCGATGGCCGGCCGACACGGGCAGAGATTCCCTTACCTAAAGCCCCAGCAAAGGGAGCTCCCACGACAATGAAATTATCCAAGTCCCGATCCTGTTCAAAGACCTCGGTATACAACTGTGTCTTCCGGAACCATTTGCCGTCAACACTCTCCCATTCAGATGTTGGATGGAGTGCGTCCATGATGGCGCGTTATCTCATGATGGTCTCCAACGGCGGCAAGAAAATGCTGACCAAGAACGTCAAATCGACACCTTGAATATGCAGTGTGGGAGGTGGGATAGCTGTACTGAAGCTCTGGTGTTGCAGCGCGATCAGTTGGAGGCTGGTGGAATGAGCTTGCTGCCTGTTCTGGACACCCCCCGAGAGCACGCTGTAATCTAAGCCAAGCGTTGGGGTCGAGAGGCCCAATTCCTGGTTGGACAGTCAACATCACGTGATAGAAACACCAGCCTCCCGTACCTGTCGCTGCGAGCCCGGCCCAGCTGTTGCAACGCATGACGCATTTACAGACAACCCGTGGCTGCAGCCCTGATTGACCTGTCACAAACAACAGCTAAACTAGCTGCTATTCAGAACAGCCTCTTGCTGTAATTCTGGTCAACCAGTCGCAATGCACAGTGTATTTACAGATTTAGTCCTGTCCAAATTGCTGTAATGTATAGGGTAAGGTGATGGCTTAGAAAGAAATTATGAGCTACAGGGGCTAGGAAGGGTGGGGTCAGTTGACCCTCTCAAGTGGGTGACATTGAAATTGAGACACTCAAACATTGAGCTGCTTATTTTCAAGCCTGCAAGCAATATTACCAGATTATTGAGTACTAATAATATGTGCTTGAGATAATACAGTACATATTGTCACTGGATTTCTTTTTATACAACAGAAAATTCTACTTATTTATCTCGGAAAGTAGCACGTTTTTCTTACCAGGTGTCTCATTTCTTATGTCACCCACTTGCCTCTACCGCACCTTCCTCCAACTCCAACAACAGCCAGGATCACCCACGTATAATATTGCTTCACTCTCCACCATCGATAATCTCCAAATGGACTTCAAGTTTTCCTCAGTGGCTCTGGTGGTCACAAGCCCGAGTACATATTCGTCAGACGCAAGAAGCATACGATGACCAAGTTCTCAACAGAAGCCGGCGGCTCGCATGTATAGTCGCAACTAACAACGAGTTGGCTGTTCCCAAACATCGAACAACCCTCTGTTTAAAGTATAACATCATGGACACTCACAGTAGCATTTGAACACGTGAGGCATATGGATGGCAAAACACGACCCAGCGAACACATGGTCGTGAATCTAGACAATAACTGAATTGGAAAGAGCAACAAGCATACTTCCGTCATGGCTCATACCTATCTGCCCGAATGTCTAGGCTTCATGGAGCAGCGACTCTGTCGACATCATAATACCATCGGCCATTGTGAAGGGATAATTGCGCACTTCAGGAACATCCCCTTTTGCCTCGGCCTTATCGACATCTTGGCTCCAGTATTTCGTGTTACCATCAATAATATACGGCTGCAACCATGACCACTTCCCGTACGGCACGACCGGGACGTGTACCCTGGCACCTGCAGTTGGCGGCGCTGGAGGATTCTCTGCTCCCGCCGCCTTCAGTGATTCGAGAGGATCTTCTCGGAACAGAAACGGTCCCGCGCGGTAGCACAGCCTGATCTTCCGCAGCGCTTGCTGCACGGCCCAGTCTGGAAGCGCTAGGCTTGATGGTGGGAGGACGCCAGTCTGGGCTTTCACGGGGTGGAAAACATAAACAAGGAGACAAAAGGGAAGGATTTGCTCCTGCCGTCCTTTGATCATGTCATCGACTTCCAGGACACGGCCATTTTCGAATAAGTCGACATGGCGGGCTTTCAGGGTGGGTAGGTTGGAAGGATGTATTGGGTTGCATGCGAAATCTTCGTTCAGGTCGGTTTCAGCCACGCCGCTGGGCCAGAACGTAAAGATCTTGCCGAAGTCTGGCTGTCTCGGGGCGTCTTCCCGCAAAGGAATATACGCGGCCAGACCATCGTCGGAGTATTCTTTCAGTCCGAGATGGAGAGGCAAGTCGTAGTCAGAGAGCTTGGAGTAGGATTTTCCAGCGAGGTTCTGAAGGCTTGTCTGGGGTTTCGGTTCCTCGTGATTCAGTTCAATCGACCATCGGGCGATGGCCAACGCAAAAGGACGACCAAAGGCAGCGTTCATGACGCTGGAATACGATTCTGCAGGGGGCGCCATACAGCTGGAAGCGTCGCCCAGGATCTCAATTATTCGAAGAGCATAGCGTTTGGTCTTCAAATTTTGGATGAAATCATCCAAGATATTAATCTTCCACTGATCGGCATTGTCCGTCAGAGGAGGCGCGAAAGAGTCCTGGCTTATGGGAGGTTGATTCAACTGAGCGACTTTTGCGGCGGCATCGCCCTCGGAGGTCAGGATCTCTGCACGAAAGTGCCCAGCAGATGTGAACACCTGCAACGAAAGATCGACGCTGTTGTACATGATGTACCCACAAACCGGATCTTCCCACTCGCTGCAAGGCCTCCAGGTGCTTTGGCCAATATCCCCCGGCTTCAGATACGCGTTGAAAAGTCTTGCCGGCTGATTGATGGATGGCGGGATTTGAAAGTATTCACATTTGTCTCCGGTGGAAACCACGACATTGGGCGTCTCTTTGCCGTTGACCATATGATATGAAGGCTGGTACACTGATGAGATAGTTGGCATAAGGCTGTCTCTAGCAACAACTTCCACTCCTCTGCCAAACTTGTCGATCACATTGAACTTATTGAACTTCACTTGTCCATGAGTTACGGGAATGAACACTGCCTCTGGATCAATGCCATCTCCATACGGCAGGGGATCGCAGTGAATGCAAACCATTCCTAGAGTGTCAGCAGTAAATCCAGCAGCTTCGCCCGCAGTCACCGCTTCAGGCATCGTAGTCCCGTCTGGAAGCGTTGGGCGGACATGAGCTGTCCCGCTAATCAGAGTGACAAGTTGGTCTTGAAACCCATCGAGACGACAGGCTAGGGAGGGGATGGCCTCCATGTTAACATACAATTGATCTCTTTTGTCGACCGCAAGAACGCTCTCCAACATTCTCTCTGGCAATCTCCCAGCCGAGTTTCGCAATACGTTTGCTACTGACCCGCCCGCGCTCGGATGCAATAGAGCTCTTCCACCCATTGCACGACGCGGGTACTGAGACTTGTTGCTGGAGACATCCTTGGCTGGAGTCAAGGACTGTGTCAGCTCTGGGTACACTTGAGCAGCTGTACGTCGGGCGTGTTGTGGTTCTCAGAGGTCATACGGGGTATGGAAGTACTCTGCCTCCCATTCGACATACAGTGGGACGAGGGGGTTGTCCAAGACAGCCTCGGTGTTGAAGACAGCGTTGCAGTATGGCGGTACGACTTCGTTGGCTTTGAGATCTAGCAATGAATCACCTGCACTAGCACACATATAGTCCACGTGTTCTCCGTGAGCAAGTGCGGCGGCAGTGGGAATCGCAACTATATTGTCGGCCATGTCCACGGCAGCCTGATATGCATCATCTCCAAACTTTTCAGCTTTGAAGGCCTTAATGCACTGAGATTAAAATCTCACAGGCTGACAGTCAGAGAACCCATCAGGCCACGGGGATTTGCAGCCGAGGAGTGCCACTGTTGGGTCTTTTCGCTGGACAAAGGAATCAGAGGGAACTTTTGTCAACTTTAAGTTGGACACTTTCGTTTCCTTGTCCAGGGAAAAATCTCTTAGGAGATTTTCCAAGTGATTTTTGGTGTTGGTAAGAGTGTCGTCGAGACTCTTGATTTCAGTTACCAAGGCCGAGTGATTCGAGGAGACCTGGTCTGTCCCCGACAGTGCATCGTTTGTGACACAGCGCCACCATTCGCAGAATAGCTTCCAGCGGCGAAGTCAATGTTGAACCGTATGTGATCACAAACCCATTGAACAGCATTTATTTCCTGCAATGCTGTCTTGTCGTCGTCAGTTAGTTGCGGCGTGGAAGAACGCCCTGGTCAACTTGATTGACTTTGACGTCTTCCTTGTCGCCGGATGGTGCCACTTTCCACTGACTTCCGCCCTCGAATTGCTTGAATTCCCGGAGGACTCTCAAGAAATCTTCAGCTGCAGTCTGTTTATCTACCTCTGCATGGTGATGGCCCGACACCGCGATGTTTTGGAGTTTCTGGAGATCCTGATGCGACTGGCCTGCATTACCAGCCTGCATCAAAACACCGAACGCGTCAAACGAGTCAGTGCCGACCGCCAAGCTGCCATCCGATTTCATAACAAATGCCTCGCCCTCCGCGGAGAGGGAGGGGTCTCACACATCGATGGATTTAGGATCAGGGTTCCATTTCAACAAAGTATACGTGCTTTCATGACAGATATGCCGAGCAGGACTCTGAGATGTTGCCCATTTCGTCACATTAGCTTGATCTATCTTGTTCTTGTCTAGCACTATGTTTAGTTGCGCGAGAAGCTGCCCATTGGTAACGTTAGGAGCTTTATTCACCCATGGATCTTCGGTAATGTCTGCGTGCTATCCAATCACCGAGTATCCGATCTCCGGACCGGCAGGTATGTCGTCCGAGGGATCGTGGAAACTGAACATATTGGGGTTATGAGGCTGGTAGTCTGCGAACAAGATGTTGCCTGCACTGTTGGCCTTGAGTGGCTTGATACGAACGATGGTGGAAGAATTGGTTCTTTCAGCCCAGTCTTTTAAGTTCCTCTGCTCCCCTAGGAAATACTCTCCTTGAAGGTCAATAATACGCTCGTCTGCCAATTTCTCAGGCGTGCGGATATACTGAGATACGTCGGTTATCAGGTCGATGGAGGGGTTGATGTTATCGATATGCCGGCAGACGTCGTTTTCAATGACCCAACCAGTATTGGTGGCTGCGTTCCGGGTCACTCTCGCAACTATCCAGCGGTTTGGTGGAGTAGCAGCTACCGAAAACTTGTCTTAAGTTCGTCGGTGGCAGAGTGATATTGGGGTATTGCTCTGAATATGCCTCCTGGTTTCCCAGTCCTAGGACATCTATCTTCATAGGGATCAGGAGTGTTGTATTACGAGGGGCACCGGCTGCGGATCTATCATGTGAGGGCGCCATTCTCGTCTGGTGGCAGGTCCTCTTTTTGGAATTTAAAAGTCCGAAGGTATACTTTTCCCGCTCAGAAACAAATGGGAAGGATAGGCGTTACGAGTGAGCTATCTACTCGTAAAAGGAATATCTTCCTCAACTCGGCTATGTGGAATTCAATTACATGGCCTTTGCTACAATATTGGGGTGGGAATCTAGTGGGAGAGAAAAGGCCCCCATACATATTCCGGACACAGAGGGACTATTGGAGACTATGGCCGTAGTCGCCGCTTCTGAGGAGGCTAAGCCGGGCACTGAATGAGTAGGTGAGCTCTGATCTCAACACCTGATGGGTGTGGTTATACAGCACCCCACTGATACCCTGGGCGGCCTGGAGATGGTCTAGAACTAATTGGCTATGACGTCGCTCAGCTGTAGCTGTGACGGCGGTAGAAGGGCGGGCCAGAAGCAAGAAGCACTGCAGCAACTCACAAGTTTCTTTGCCTCCCAGTGCCTTCTGAATCTTCCTTGTTCTGTCATGCTTCGCACCTCAGAAAGAACGAAACAACTGGTTGTTTGTCAGGCCATGGAGCTATAGACTTGGAGGCATGGGACCAAACTTCACGATATCAGACCCGAGATACCTTGTAATGCTCCACGAGTTTCATTGCCAAAACCCACTCGCAGCTAAGTCATTCAATGATGAAGAAGTGTTGGCACAAGATGAACATCGATTTTATCCAGTCTATGGGCCATCACTCACTGTAGGGGAGAGGACTATAACTGCAACACAGGATGTTGTCGATCCAGACGGCAAAACCTTCAGTCTGTCGAAAAGCCAGACTTCCAAAGTAGTCGCTCCGAGGTTCAATCTGCCCCTATCAGATGTTCACTCTTTCTACCCTCCATCTGAGGGACAGTGTCCCTTAAGATGTTGCCTCATATAGTATTCAAGGATTCGCATCTTCTCTGGGAACGTCAAATGGGATCCTCCACACCGCTGAAAGACGGTTCAGAGAGGACACGCATTCCATGGTTGGCATTATGGGTGTTCCGACCCGACGAGCTTGTCTCCCTGGGTACAGGCATATTCGCTGGAAAGACCCTTTCTAGTACAGGAGCTGTTAATCTTAAAGTGTCGGACGTGATCCAAGCAGATATATCGGACATTTGCACGCCATATAAGCATGAAAAGACCTCGCCAAACGAAGTGGATTCGCAGGCGGATTTCATATGCGTCACCAGGTAGCTGTTCCAGGCACTTTGTCCCATCTTACGCGGCCGATGGCACTTCGACTGGAAAGACCGACTTGACTGGTACCTGGCGCATGTTCGGAAGGTGGGCAGTGAATGCCTAAAAGCTGCGGCAGCATCTGCGACAAGCGACTGCTTCAGTGTGGTCATTGAAAATCGCACTGGTTATTCACAGAATCAAGATCCTTCATCTCTGGGTGCCGTCGCTCATCTTGTGTCTCTCGAAGGCATCGGCCCGAGTTTCAACCCATTGCCCGGCGCCAAGCTGGTGGCTATTTGCTCACTCTTCAGCTGGATATTCAATTATACTCTCTAGGACGACTAGGTCGAGCCTGAGAATGCCCTGAAAGCAATCGGTACACCAGCTAGTGGACTCGAATGGCTACGGCCAAGTCAGGACAAGTATTCCGGGCTGCTGAGCGCCCAAGAAGCTGACAAACAGCGAGTGGGCAAACGCATCAGAGATGGCTATTCATTGACTCTATATTGAACCCCCTCTGGAGAAGAAACACTTGCTCTTCAGCGCGGTGTGCTCATTCCCACCCTTCCTTCCGCTAACATTGCCCTCAATAAGCCGATCCATCTATTTTCAACCCAACTACAGATCCTATATACAGAAATTGGCCTAATTGACAACTGGTATACCGCCGCTTGGAATTTGGGCAAAGCAAATGCTCTCGCTGATGAGAACTTCCTGAGCGCATTTGTCCGGCTTCGTACTACTATCTATAAACGAGCACTGCTGGCTGCGAAGGCAGAAGTCATTGATAGTCAAGACGAGGCGCCAGCAGTCTTGAAACGCTTAATATCTGCAACAGACTCGCTGTTGAAACTGCCTGATGCCAAGAAGGATAACCAGTTGAAATGGTTTAACAGCGTTCCACCTGAAAGAGACGACAGCTTAAGCATCTGAGGTGAGAAGATGAGAGTCAAGTTTGCTGATGCCATGAAAGTAGAGACAAACAAGCTGGGCCAGAGTGTTTCTGCTGAGCTTTATGATGAGCAGAATAATCCCTTATCCTCGGACTGGGCTGCCGTTGTCGCGTGGGTCTATGATGGGCTGTTTTTAGCCAATATACCTTGGTATCACTTATTTATGGAACCGTCAAGCCTGCCACCGAACTCGATTCGGTTCTTCTACGTTGATCCAACTTGGCTGAACGCGTATCTAGACGGCGCATTGAGCATTGGAAACCATGTGGAAAGCGACCAAGATTCGGTCCGAGCAGCCATCAAGCTTCTGCTTCAAAAGTTCTTCACAACGAAGAACGCAAAATCAGGGTATCAGCCACAGGTTCCAATCTCAGGCCTCCTCCTTCGATCGTCACTCGTCGTAGATTTCGAAGATCTGGGAATCCAAGCGCCTCGAAGATCAGACGACTCTCGGGCCACAATATTGAGACAAGTCAAATTGGCTCCTGATATCTTGTTGGTACTGTTCGACCGGGCACTGACCAATATCGAGATATGTCAACCTTCTCATGAACAGTGCTTTTTGGCCTACAACGGAAAGGTCAGCAATAGGAAAATCGAGATGGCGTACAGGAACATCACCACTAAGCCCACCAGTTCCGACAATATGCCCATAAAGCCATTTGACACACATATTTCAAAGCCATCAGAGACGATTCTAAACAGTTAATATGGCACCATCCTGGCGGACTAAGGATGTCTATAACTTTCTAATATCTCGTACAAATCGTACAAATACTATATTCTCGGAAACGGCCCCCTTGTCTGCGTTCCTTGCTTTTCATTTGCCCTATTCGTTAGTGAAATGAAGGTTGACACTCCCAGCCCCAGATCCGGCCTATATTACGGGCGAATTCCAAGTTACTATACTCAACGTTCAAGATCTGTATCGTTGGGGTTATAATATCAGAAGCGAGAAAAGGGCTCGAGAGATAATATTCAGATAATTCTCCGCAATATTACGCCAAGGTTATTTGAGGGCTGATCTATCCAAGTCCCCGACCTCCCTACTGGTCGATGATCTCAAGAGCAGCATCTTATAACAGGGACGAATTGGGCTCAGACAGCGACAGTTAAACACCTGTGTTATCTTTGCCCTCCGCGTCTCAGTATATCCTATAAGTTTATGCTTTGGTTTATAAACCCTTTAATGACCCATCCGGGGCTCAGATAAGGATTCCGTATGACGCCAAAGAACCATTGAACCTTGTCTTTGGTATCCGGAGGCGGCAACAAACTGCAAGCACACCATATACACTCCACAGGATGGCGATTCACATCCTATCTGAAACGAACGGTTCTGTTAATTCTTTCCTCTTTGGCTACACAGGACTAGGGCTATTTATGGCAAACAATATCCGGTATATTCTAGAGATATGTTGTCCACCGGCTGCAAATAACGATGCGGCCGAAGTGATTGTGAACCTGATACCATGAAGCAAGGTGAAAATTACTACATCTCCGAAAAGTTGCCTGATCATGTTGAATAAGGAAATGATGTTCATTCTCCGGCAAGTGTCTTTGAACGGTTTGCCTCAGACGTTGAATGCCGTTTTTGCCATGACGATGAACGAGTACTATGAAGACAGCCTAATCCCGATTACATTAACAGCGCAGGTGAAGCATGTGGATACTAAAGACCTGTAGCAATTATATTGCAGTATAGCTAGCCTAGAATGATGAACCTATTGCTTAATCGCTTCTATTTAAAGACCTCATTTGAACTCGTTGTAGGTTTATGTTGCCCAGCACCCTCCCTTCGATTCTGTATCTCCTGTTCATCCAGGACTCTGGCTGTGTAACCATTGACCGGAGATGGTTCTGTGCCGCTGGCAAGGTATTTTCCCTATTTTTTTACTGTATCTGATCATTAATCGAGCTGAAGCTTCGATCTCAGCTTACTACCAAGCTTGTTCTGGGGGAATGTGAGCAGCTATGAATCTCCGCAACGACTACTAGGTCCTGTGTTTCCGGCTTCTCCAGTAGTCCCCGGTGTGCCCATATTCGACTGAACACCGGATTTGGCCTTGAGTTTGTTGTCGCCGGCTGATTCTTTTGGTAAGTTGATAGTGAACTGTTTACTACTGCCTCTGTAACCTCCTGCACCCTGCTATCCCGCGGTGCTGCTTTTGGCTCCGAGGAAACCTTTGATAATCAACTCTTGATATTCAGGGTCGCTTTGTTTAGTTCCGCTAAACACTCTATATTGACTTCTGAATATGAACCGCTTGTCTATTTCAGAGGAGAGGGCCTCCGCATCCGTTCCGGCTGTGTCAACACCCTTCCCGCTACCGCCTCTATTACCGCTGCTACCGCCCTGTTGCCCCTTACCTCCCGTGCAGTTGACTATGAAGAACACCCTGTTATCCGTGAGCGCGCTCGTGTTATATGGGTCCGCCTCGATGGTCAGGCTCCCTGCGTCTGCACCCTGTGAGCCGGTCGCGCTATCCGCCCCGGTGCTTCCCTCGATGGCGCTGTTGGTCGCCTTGAGCGCGGTCTACGTGCTCCTGCAGAACAGTGTTTTGAACGACTCGACTTGGTAGCTGGCCGTGGTCCTACCACTCCCCTCCCCTGCTTTCGCAGGTAACTTCTGCTCCGCGTCTGCGCCAGGCATGCGTATGATGACGGTCTTCTGGTTGGGGTCCGTGCGGTGAGGTATGAATGCTGCCTTCTTGCACTTTATATGCAGGGATGTGTTTGGCTTGTATGTATACTGTGCTCCGGCGATGAAGATAAACTTATTCTTGCCCTGAATGCGGAATTCTTAACGTTTGGGGTGGTTGGACGAGGGTTTCCAGCAGCCTTCCTGAACGTAGCTTCACGCATCGTTCCAGGCCCTGATCGACTTCCTCATGAACTTCGACCCTTTCCACCATGTCTTGGACATTTTGATTGACATCAACGTCTCCTGGAGCGGCTATGTCCTTTTCGTCTGGACGAGTCTCGGCTTCGATATTTCGGCCAGCTTGCACATGTGTGGGCCTCCAGTGTACGGCATCTTCACCATCAAGGTCCCCATAAAGAACGTGACTGTGACGTTCGGCGACAGTAATGGACAAATTGCCCCTGACAAGGTCGATCTCGAAACGTTCCGCGGGATGCTTCAACAAAATAGACAAGGCGCCAAGGAGGAATTGAAGATATCGTGCGGATCAGGGTTATCCTCCTAGGACGACACCACGGGTGACTGGACTGTGAGAGCCGGGTCCTTTGCATTTGACGTGCGATCAAATATAGCAACTACACAGGCTTACTTAGATGGCACCGCTGTCGGAGTTGCCAATAAGGTCTATGCAAAACCCATGTAATTGACAGAGAATAGCAATGGACTGAATGCCGATCTCATAATCACCGTAAAAGAAAAACCTGACAAGGACAGAAGCAGTGGTGATCAATATCGACCAGACGTAATATCCGGAAATCTTCCTGCGGCATTGTGGTCATCATGTAAGTGAGGAAAACGCTCCTGTCGAGTATTTGCTAATCAATCGTGCCGGACCACAAATGATTCGGCCAAAGATCCAAGTGTTTCGAATGCTGACAAGTCCGCTCTCCTCGACGACTCCATGTCGACAATCTCTTCTATATATGGGCTGAGTGTCCGTGCGCCAAGTCCTGATCTCTCCAAAGATGAGATTAAGCCTTTCAAGATAAGTAACGTGATCTTTCCCATCGCACTCAAGGACGGAGCTACATCTGCGCCAGTTGCTCCCTGTCCAGTTGAAGATCAATCGTGGGAAGGGAAGGAAGCGACAGGAGAGACAATTGCACAAAAGCGGAAGAATGTTCAAGGCATTTGGAGAGACGCAAGTACGAGGTGCCAAGGATTTGCAAAGGCGTGGGTTGAAGCCATGGATTTGACAGAGTTCACGGCGGTAACGCAGACTCCGAGCCGATTAATTGGTGATTTTGATAAGTTGGTACGAGGAACACCGCTGATCAGTTGCGGGTAGATGAAGGGTTGATGGATTGGATATTGATTAGTATCTGAGATGAATGGAACTAAGTACAAATAGTATATACACCCAAGTGGGTGGAATAAAACATGGCATTGAGATAGTTCAGTATTGAATTTGAACACAATATTACAATAAATAATTTAGTACTGAATACCATATCAAGTTAAAAATTATAGAATAGTTTATTATTCTTTCATTATTGTGTTTAGTAACAAAATGAGGTCCCTGCCTTACGCGGAAAGAGCTTTGGTGTGCCATGTTTTATTTCACCCACTTGGTACCTCCAACAGAGGTTCTGCAGGTCTGGGAATAAGGCAGACCTAGAGCCCAAAAAAGGATCTGCCAATATAAATTAATGCTTTAATTTAATTGGCGGCGCCAGGAGCTCTTCCTTGTTCCCAGCGGTGACGTTGAGGCCTGTCAAAGGAGATTTCTCGGGTAAACAGCCATGTACCGATACAAGGTGCCTGCTGAGTGGGTTTGGTTGCATCATTTAGGCCCCCCACCGTTAACTTATCAGGGCGGGATGTGCCTTCCCTTGTACATTACCTATCAACGACAATTCCGTCCAAAGAAAGACACCCTCCCTCGACCGAAACCAAAACGGGCTCTTGGGTTGAAGACATCCGACAGATAACACCAACTTGCAGTTTGGAGGCACAATGTCCAAATGGAAAGAGGAATATGCCATATCCCTCCAGGATGTCGAGCTTAATAACCCAGTGAACATGGAACTGGTCCAGACATGTACTCATCCCTTGATACTACCCACCTCAAGGGTCCTTGCTTTCCCGAAGCTCACCATGTATTTGTTTTAGGTTCACAAATGGCCGACCGGATATCTGCGCTCGAAGCAGAAAAGGCTGCGTTACAAGCTCGCGTGCCCGGCCCCAAAGACGACACCAAAGGAGCCCCGACGTCTAACCTCAACGACCCCGGCCTGGCCCAACTACGCCTTGAACTCACCGAGGCTCTGCGCTCAAAGGGTGTCGCAGAAGCACGATTACGAACAGCCGAGGAGGAGCTGGACAAGCTTCGTGTACGGACAAAGAAAGAGACCAAAACCATCACGGCACTGGACACCGAGCGAGCTGGCCTCACGACGAAACTGAAGGACCGGGACCACGAACTCCGAGAGAAACGGAAACTTCTAGAGGTAAGGGCGCGGAGAGCCTGGGTGAAAACTGTGGTAAAGCAGCATCGGAACTGACTTTCTCGTTCAGCAAGTCCAGGATGAGATGATCGCGCTGAACCTTCAGCTGTCAATGGTCGAGAAAGAAAGAGACAAAGTCAAGAAGGAGAACAAAGAACTCGTCGATCGGTGGATGAAGCGTATGGCCCAAGAGGTGGACGCGATGAATCTTGCCAACGAACCACTCTTCGAGAAGGGCACATGATGTTGCCCCGACGTTTTCGTTTCCTCCATGTTTTACGCTTACGATTCTTATCACTAACGAGACTTGCATCACTACAACGGCGGAGTTTGGGAAGTGAAATTACAAATAATGACAACACATACTGATTTGAAACAATAAGAAGTATCCTGTACGCTAACACCGTCCATGAGTTTCCCTTAATCCATGCACCCAAGCTTATACACGAAAACCAAATACCTATGGCTAACATCTAGTTCTTTAGTCTATTTGCGCGTCGAGATGTAGTAAGCACCTCCCGCATTAGTCCAGCTCACAAACCCCTCGGGGTATATGTGCTCCTCCACATCGAGGATCGTGCTGCCCACATCATTGATGTTGTGGTTGCTCTTGGAATCCGCAACAAATGATTTGAGCGACACGATCTTGCAACCCTCCTTCAGGTCAAGAAACATCCGTACCAAGTCGTCGTTGAGCGTCGGGGTGAATGCTTTGTTGTTCACGAGGATAACGTCGGCACGTCTGAGGACGTCGTGGATGCGAGAATTCTTACGGAAATCGCCTCGCTCCAAATGGACATCACCCGGCTTGATCCCCCAGAGCATGGATCTCGCGACGAATTCAGTCTGCTGTATTTCTGCTAGGTTGCACGCATTGTCCATCATCTCACAGCCCCAGCTCTCACAACCAATCTCCAGTGCGGCTTGCATGACGACGTTTCCGACTCCCGAACCCAGATCTACGAAGACCTGCTTCGAATTCATCTTGAGCTCGTCTACCAGCAATCTTGATATAAAAGGGTGAAGTAGCTCGCCATACACATTGTCGGAGCCCATCTCATATTTGGAGAGGAGCTCCACCTTTGGGGCGACAACCCGGTCATAGATCTGATCCAGAATGAATGCGACTAGTCCACGTGGGAGCTCGTGCAGGTTGTCGAGATTCTTCGCAATTATGCCGTCCTCTACTAGGGCAAGAAGCGTGTCGTTGTACTCCTTAAGTGCAGCCTTGAAGCCCATGAAGTCCTGGACGTTTCTGTTCCTGGCCTTCTCCAGGCGGCGTATTAATCCCTTCGGGTTGGTAAAAGGCTCGGCTTCTTGTTCCGTTAGATATGTCTCGGCCACTAGTTGAACGATGCGGACACTCGCTTCCTCGGCGTTGATTTTGTCCTTGCCGCAAACTAGTTCGAACCTGGCGTCGCGTTAGCACATAGAAGAAATAGAGAGGATAGACCATAATGAAATAAACGTACTTCTCGCGAGGCTGCAAACTTGGATACTGCAGCTCGAATTCCACGTCCTCTCTCTGGCCCCCCATGGCAGGGACGCAGTTGTGCTGGAGAGACGCCACCTGCACGGCGTGGATGAAGTCGAGTCCCGCATCCCCCACCTCGAAAGCCCGCGCGCTCCTGATCTGCCTGGCCGTGTCCTCGGACCGTCCATTCAGGGTGCCCTTGCGCTGCCTCTTCCTGCCATCCAGCTTCAGCCAGCCGTCGTCCTCCTCGCCGTCGCTGTCCTTGCCGAAGTCGGGACGGTCGTTGACGGCCGGGGACCGACGGGTGGACGACGCAGAGCCAGCTTTGCGCTTCCGCTCGGCGCGCTTCTCGTCCGACGAGGACGGATACGGAGAGTGGCTCTTCTGGCGGGGTTTTGAGGAGGGTTTGGGGGACGGCCGGTGGGTGGCCGCGGGCGAGGAGCGTGCCGACGAGGCGGCGTTGGAGATGGCCTTGGTGGAGGGTGTGACGGGCTTGACGGCGGCGGCGGGCCGGGCGACGGTGACCTTCTCTATGCGGATTTTGGGAGGGTCGACCTTGAATTTGTTGTTCTTGCTGCCAAAGAGCGGCATGGCGCCGTTCTGGAGATGGGCGGCCGAGGCGCCGGGCGTGTGGATGTGGTGGTGGTGGTTAGGGGGTTGGAGGGGCTCTAGAGGCCCGACGTCGCGTGTCCGCGCGCACTCGCGTAGATGGAATGGTATTAAATGGGCAATAGGTATGCCGAGAACGGGAGAGCCAGAGCAATGAAGAGAATGGCAAGTAAAGGCGCGGCAAAGACGGCAACGGGCACAAAAAAGATGTATGGACTCGAAGTGCGGTGAACGGGCGTAAGAGAGGGACTGTGCGTTGTGTGAGCGTGTATGCAAGAGTAGGAGAGAGAGTGAGTGAGATGTGCTGCCAGAAAGGCGAGGATGAGGCGAAAGTCATCGGTCGCTCACAGCGTGTGTCCCACTGGCAGGCGCCTGTAAGTCCCAGGCGGCAGCGGCCGTTGGCTCCGCTTAATCAGCAGCGCCGTACTGCCGGTTCAGTGGTTCGCCTGCATGATGCCTTGTGCTTGGCGATCGGAGGCCCAGTGGGTGGTGCACCGCACCGTCCAGGCCCTCTGGCTGGCCTGTTACCGTGCGGTGGTGTGGGGATCTTCCGGTTCTTCCCACCCACCAAAAGCCTCGAGCGCTCCCCCGGCCAGAGGGTCTGTCCATCGCGCCCATTCGAGGGCCACTTCCTCGCAATGCCACGCCGTTTTCGGGCTGCGCGCACCCGACATGAAACATGGGCTGGATGCCTTGCCAAGAAAAGCTGAAGGCTGGGTGCATGCGTACGCACTGCATATATTGAAACTCGGCATCTGTTGTGTTGAGATGAGGCACCCCGCGCGGCTCTTGGCTTTCTTGTGTTCCCAACCAACATGCAAAAATGGCATCATCACTGGGCTTCCGATGCTGTGCTAAAGTGAAAGATGCACTTTCTCATCCCCCGAGTACAAGCCCAACTTTCACCAGCAACAAGCAGACTGATTGATCCGCGTCACTCCCGAGACACGGGCAGAACAGTCTCTGGGTGGAATTGCCAAAACAGGGAATTT